TTTTTTTAACTACGGGCCGACGTTTCGGATGCTGCACAGCAAGTAGTTAAAATAATTTTCAAATAAGCGTATTTACAATAATTCTAACAAGTTCTACTAATATATATCGCATTAGAATCGTTGAAGTTTTAATTAAATTCTTCCCATATGCCAAAATTCAAAGTCGAGGCAAACGGTAACATGTGAACATCGTTACGTCAGCGGAGCGCCAGTGAGTACGCGCCCAATATTTAATTGCATTTAATCCTCTTGGATATGACCATTGGGGTTCAATCAGGTAGGTCACGACTTGTCAGATATTGTCAGACCTGTCAGTGGAGCCGGCCACGCCACCCTTGACATCGAGTGTCGAATGTGTACAGTAATTGCGTGCTTTGTTGCGCGTACCGTATATTGTTTATTTAGAGACTTTTCTTCTATCGCGAGTAAATCTTCCAGTAAAGATTAGAGAAACCGCCAAAAGTATCTTACTTTATTTGTAAACTGTAACCGCCGCGTGAAAATGAAAAATCCGTCGGGCCGCAGTTAAAATTCAATAATCTAAGTTATACGCGTTTAAAATCATTTACATAATCTTTTTATTTTAATCTCCATGCTTATGTTTAAGGTTAGCTTTCCAATTAATCATTTATTGTTTTAAGATTGGTGGAAAATCGGTGCGCTCAAATTGAACACAAAAATGTTAATCTTATGTCAACTTGAAACTAAAATACACTTTCGTTTATAAACTTATGATTAAAATATATTTTTTCGTTAATTGAAAATGGTTTTGATAAATAGCACTTTAATATTTCAAATTGTAAATTAACTTTCGTATTTCTTGCTTTCTTTATATGCTGATGTTAACATTACATTTACAGTTACATATTTTAATGTAAGTTGTTTCTGGTAAACTTTCAAAATTAATTATCGAAATCGCAGGTATCTAGACTATGTTATAACTGAAACTCGACAACACCACTCGCCACAATGATAAACAACTTAGAATATAAATTGGCAATCTCCCACGAGGTGATACCGCGAATGATTAACAATAAAATATTGCCATATTTCGGGATCGTTAAAATGGGCCGAGTCGCGCTGAGAAATGTTTACGTTCGCTGAGTGGTGTTGCCAGTAAATCCGAAGTCGCCGCCGGCCACCGCTGTAATTGCTTTCGTTGATGTATAATATGTTTATTGTTTATTTAACGCGCTTTTTTATCAGGTAGCCAGTGTTTGTGGCCCTCGCTCGACGCTGTCTTTACTATTCGTCTTTGGCTTTGTTACAATCTATTGTTCCAGTGTCGCGTCGTTACGACTTCATTAGGGTGAAACGGATGTTTGAGACAGCTTTCCGTGTAAAATTAAATTACTTACGAAAGAATATAAAGAAAGATTTCTAAGTGCGCACACGCAATTCAGTATGCAATGTTGGTATTAAACATTTTACGTATCGTTTTACAGCCAAACGATTGAAGAACACGAATCCACGACATACCTTACATTGTAAACATGAAAATTGTTGAAACAACATGTTTCAACAATTTTCAATTTCTCTGAAACTTTTTAAACTTCGTTTGGTAATCTGGGCATTAAATGAGCAGCAGGAATATCGGAATTCCGTCCGATTCACGAACCACGTCCATAAATGAAAGACGTGACTTTCGCGTTTCGGTTGCAGTCTGATTTTCCGAATGTCAAAAGCTAAATAACTGGTTAACTTGTCGAGATGTTATGGCTGGGGTATTTTACCTTCTAGCTTGTCTTCTCTATCATAAACGCGACCAATATTTAAGAGTTCCTTACATACATTATGAGATGACAAGCCGGTGCCGGCCTCTCGCACCGAATCAAACGCATGTTAATAACGATTAAGAGATCGAGGGCGATTTATCAAGTGGGGAAATAAGGGGCTTATTATAATTGGAACATCAGTAAAAGTGACGCTTCCATTACGAGAGCGGAGAGGATCACGCGACGTCGCCCACACGGGGCTAAATGCGCGCGCCGTGTTCTATGTAAATGGCCGATGTCCCTCGCCTTAATTAATCTATAGTCGCATAAATAAACCGACCGAGTCGATCGAGCTGAATATTCAACGGAGGTTGCGATCATATAGCGCCGCGATAGCCGTCGACACTCGTACGCAATCGTCGGTATTGATTACTTTTTTAATTGGCTACAGATGCGCGCGCGCCGAATTCGCCCGATTTACGAGACGGCCGATTGTTACGAGGTTTTATGAGAACATTGTCGGTTCAAATTGAAAATCTATTAAGATTGAAAATGTAGAAGACTAGCGCGGGACTCGAACCGGCTTCTACAGAGGTCTGTGCTCGAGTCCCGACTGTGTCGTAATTTTTTCTATCTCTACTATTTTTATTTATATTCACGTGAAATTAATTTATTTTAAGGTGGTTTATATTAAATAATTTTCGCATCTTAATCTTGTTCTGTTTGATATCATATAATGTATGTTAAAGAAAAAACAAATGAAGGAAGGAGGAAATCGAATCTAAGTAGTGAATTATAATTTAGGTGTCCATGTCCATGTCCTGTGTGACTGAGAATCTCAGTCGCAGGCTAACGTTATATTTTGTATATAATTTAAAAAATTCATAACCGTTTGTATTTGTGTTATAAATTCTGTTAGAAGTAGTTACCTAAGTACCTACTGTAACGTAAGATCGTTTGTGTGTTTTTCTTTAATCTGGTCTTCAAAAGTTTTTCGTCGGCTTTTTATGTATGATGCTGGCTTTCAATAGTTTTACTGAAAGAAAAACTATTGAAAGCCAGCAATCAATTACCGTTAAGATAAATCGAGATTTGAATAAAAATAAATTAGTTAGATGTCGAATAGTTAAAAAGTAATTAAACGGAGCATATAAAGCTATCACTGGTAGTCGTTAGCGAGCGTATAGTGGATGCGCCCGCGCATCGCTCGAGGCGCTGGGCGATAACTGTCCCGCGATTCGGTTAAAACAAACGTGCATAATATTCCAATGAATCTCTGCTATCCAAAACAAATAACTCTGGGCGCTGAATAGATGTCTATTGAGAGAGGGGCGTGAGGGGGGAGAGGGAGAAAGCAATCAGGCTCGAGGCTTTATCCTCCCTCGTACAGTGCTCTCCAAACTTTTTGGCCGGGCTGAAGTTAGCGCGGTTGGTGGCACAGAACGCAAAAAGCAGGTTGCGACAAACGGGGTGCGCAGGTGCGGGGGGGGGACTCGACTTTTTGCTTAAAATTCACAGTACCATGCGCAAGAAGGCGGTCGCCCTAACTTCAGCCCGGCCGAAAGGCTTGGAGAGAACTGTACTTCTGTCAACTAATGCTGGTAAGTCGATACCGTAGAATGAATTTTCCCGCGTTTTAGTAACAAAGGCTCGGCGCCTCGGGACGCGTGACGAGCGAAGAGGCACCGACGTCCCCCCGTCATCTCGGATTTGCGTTGTGAAGCAATTGATAAAGAACACCGCTGATAATGCAGTATCATGACCACACAGCGCGGGTCAAGGGTCTCGCCTCCGCCGCGCATACCAGCGCCAACCCGGCCGAATGTGACGGGCGGCGATCCGCTCGGCCTTCCAAAAGCGTCGCGGCCTCCTCGCGCGGTCCGGCTAACGAATGACTTGTAATCGATGACTAGGAACATTTCTAATACATAAGGTTAATTGGACGCAGGCTCCGTATTGTGAAGGAATTAATGCGGACGAAATCGACTGTTCGACGGCCGAATTCCTAAACAATGTTTGGCTCAGGTATTCGTTTGAGAATGCTGAATGCGCGATGGTAAAGTAGCAAGAAATATAAATCTTACTCAGTACCATACCTATGAGTTAGATTAATCTAATTAAAGCACGATGCGAAATAGTGCTACAAAGATGTCTTTCAACTTTTGGGAGGTCCTGATCGAAGTAATCAATCCCGAGGAAGTATGACAATGTGTTAATAACCTTTGTTTAGATATAAACGATTTAGAGAGGTTATTCAAACATTGTATTTTATCGTTGTGGGATTCCGTTTCGTACGCTGTGAAAATGCTTCAAGATAACTATGTATGAAAGAATAATTCCTCTTTAAATAAACTAACAAAACGTCCATGACAGTATATGCCTATCTTTTAACTCTCATGGGCAACAGCTTAAATTTTAGGAGTTGAAGAGGAGGTTTGGCAAATAAATTTTGATCCGCAAAATAACTGTTCTACGCGACCGAAGTCGATGCCACAGCTAGTCTTTAATGTGCCTTTCCGTGGAAATGGCCTATGATTAGGGCTTGAAGGCGATCAGCGATGCTAACATACGCGACGGGTACAATGGGACTTGGTGCAGTGCGCGGAAGTACAACTCTCCTGTAAGCAATGATTACGATCTACAATACTCTCACTACTCTCCGCTGCAGAATAACATTTAAATAAAACACTTTAACGGTTTCAAACGCGATATATATTAGTTAAACCTCTATGATTTTTTTAAACTACGGCCCGTCGTTTCGTTTCGTTTAAAGTGGTTTATTTAAATTTTAGGTACTACTCGCAAAAACTACAGACAGTATTAAACTTGAATTACTGTTGGGAAACTTAACTTATTTACACATAATGTTCCAAGACGGAGATAATAAAGTTACAGTGATTTAAATTAAATGCATAGAGAATTAGTAGCAAATCGATTTGGCTCTAGAAGCAAATAAAATATTCAAGCATATCTTTTCTACAAAAACTTCGTACAATAAAATGTTCCACATCTCTGTGAAACATATATTGCGATAAATATGTTATTTAGCATTTTATAATTCTTCGAGCAATCGAGGAGCTCTTCTCGTTCACGTCGGCCGAACAGCCCGAAAAATAATAATATGCTGAACGATAGCCGTGAAAGCCTTACACAATAATATTGCAGAACGAATTAAGATGAAATTAAACAGTGAAGTAAGGTAATTTAAAATGACGCGGGGCGAAAGCCAACTCGTTCATGGAACATCTTCCTTCATTTATTCTAACGTGAAACGTGTCAACTCACTTAGCGTAGTCTTGTTTGCAGTACACCTGTCGGTCGCGCAGGAAGCAGGAAGGATGCCTGTCGAGCTGGACTGCACACACGCAGCAGCGGAGGCAACCCGTGTGCCAGGCGCCTCCCCCCACTTCCAGCAGGAACCGATCGGCTATCGGCTCGCCACAAGCGCAGCACGTGCGATGCTCTGTCTGAAAATGTTCTCACCATTAGTTTACGTGCTTAAATCTAATAATAATGCAACTATTTATTGCATAAACATAGACACTTAAAATTATATATACATAATAAAAAAAATGTGTGATGCGGCCTTATCGCCTATGGCGATTTCTTCCATGCAACCTTTGCATGTAGTAATAAAAAAAAATACAGTGTCGCCACTACGTTTAGTAAGCGTATTCTTTTGTTTTGTATTAATGCCTACGTAGTGTATAAATGGACTATTTATATATTTACTCAGGTATTCACCATTTCTGTTAAATTAAAACGCGTTGTATTAGTTAAACTTATTTGAAAATGATTTTTAACTTCGGCCCGACTTTTCGGATGCTTTGCAGCAGCCGTGGTCACGGCGTCCTGTGACCACGGCTGTAAATGGATACTACTCGCGTAAACTATAGACAGTATTTAAGGCTTTACCTTTTATATTAATAAATAGACTAAATTACATTATTTGTTAGTCATTACAGGCTCATTACACACCTTGCCAGTAAGACAGGCAAATTGGACCCTACTAAGACTGGCAAATACAGTAAAGAAACAAATGTCAACATGGAAAAATAATGCAATACAATGAACATTTAAATTAGAAATAAACACAAAAATACTTAAGCTAAACACACTATAGATATAAATATAGCACTTTGTCTATTGCATAAAAACATAACGTGTTAGCTCTTAGTTCCTTGGTAACCAGTTTAGTTACAGTACCCTTAAAACCGTCACTGTTTGAGAGAACAGAGAGAAAATAATATTCCAAATAACGTTTTTAATATCGAAATTTAAAAAATGTGCTTATAGTAACCTCACTGAGAGTATTGTTCTTTTAGTTTCGGCTCCGTGGTAGAGCCAGCTTACATCACCTTTGATGATGTCAAACACAGCATTTGAGCTTTCAGACGCCTAAATGTTCGTGTGATATATTTTAAACTTTACTCGTACCAATGCCTTGGTTTGCCCGTATCCACAGTGATGTTATTTTCAGAAGCCACTGTTATAGAACGTCACTCCACCCACCACGTCACCTTGTTTAACCAATTGTAAATAGTGGCACAAAATGGGGCTTCATTAAGAAATGCTTTATGCTAGCTTTGTTGTAGAGTATAACCACGACGGAAGTTATAATAAATCATTGACCGAAAATTTACCCCTGTCCATTTTCACGTGCAACAAGATTACCGCCATTTGCAAAAACAAATGACAGTTTAACGTTATATATCACATTACGTTACCGACGAAGCGTTCTAAATTGAAAATTCAAAAAAGTTCTCATTAGCAAAGTTTCTAATTGGCCAGTTGTAAACATTTTCAAATCAAATCATTAACAAACAATACAAAGAATAAAAGATAAAAATATAACTACATAAACGATAGTAGATGTGTGTGGAGGAAGAACAGCACTCAGGTTTTGTTGTACCAGGAAGTAGGCACAACGCCGATTTTCAGTGATGTCCCACGTTTGACATTTAAAGTAGAATTAGTAGAAAATTAAAACAATTAACAATAAATAAACTAGAAAAACGGCAATAATACTTTTATATATATGTATATATATATAATATATGCAAATTTTTTAGTCTTACCTCATCAACATATTTATTTTAGAAGGAACCCCAAATAATGTATTTGAACGGAAAATACAGACTGCATACAATAATACAGTGTTGTATTTTGTACAGGGCTAGAAGCGCAAGTTTATTTTTAGGAAGCAATCCTTTGTGCCAATAAGAACTGTCGAAATGCAATTACGTTTGTAAATCGCGGATAACACGCAGATATTAGTTAAACAATACGAGCCCACATGTCGCGGAGGGCCCGACGTAATCTAATAGAGCCGTTGCACAAATAAAACGCCCCGGCTAGGGCGCGACAATCGCCGGCGAAATTCGCTTAAACATTTGCAACAGCGCAAATACGCGACGCACGAGCAGCCGATGATTGTGTTACAGGTCCGGCTTTGCTCCAATCCTCCAATCCAATTATATTCTCGCATTGTCGTACGAAAGTTTTATTAGAGGTGGATCATTTGAGTCTGGGGGATCGGTGAAGCACCAGCGTTTTCAAACTAAATTAGATTTTTCACCGCGATATAGTTTGTCTCCCGTTTTTATTATTCACTGGCTGCATCAGCGACTTCATCCGCGTATAATAGTTATTTTGGGCATTAAAACCTTCTTCCCATCTTTTAAAATTAAAGCTGTTACCCACGACGTCACGTCTTTTTTGCAAATTAATCTTAAAAGATAATACTGTCCCGGACATTTTTTTGATAATTCTAAGAGCAAAATTCATTTTAATTCTTTGGTTTTTTTCACTTTTCCCACTGTTTCTTCGCTCCTATAAGTCGCATCGCAATGTTTTATAAGCTATAACCTTAAACTAAAACCTCGATAAAGGCTCTAACCTACACAAAAATTATTTTACAATTCGAGCCAGTAGTGCCTGAGATTAGCGCGTTCAAACAAACTCTTCAGCTTTATATATAAGTATAGATCTTAAAATTACTAAACATCATAATACAGAGCGATATAAAATTAGGCCAAGATCACGCAAAAATCTTACAAATATTGAGTAGTCTTAGGTAACATAGGAGCTCGAGTTTATTGACTCGATCTAGAATAAATCCTAAACGGTTTACTCAATGCCAAGTTTACGTTATTCAAGCTGTCGTAACGAAAACAAGTAATTATTTCCTAGTCAAAGGAAAATAGGAAAATAGTTGTACATTTTCCTCTATTAACATCAGATCGCTTTGTTGGCGTAGGTAATGTATATTTTGTTGTTAGATTTTAATGTTTCTTGATTGTAAATTTGCCCTAATTTATTATTAATGACTAGCTCTGTCAAGTACTTATGGTATCCAATTCTGTTTTTGCAAACGTCCTCCACATTGATAAAAATTATAGCTGTTACCCACGAAATCGTTTGCGCCCCGCCCCGTCTTTCTTGAAAAGTTAATCTTAAAAGATAGACAGACATATAACTATCGCGAACATTTTTTAGAATATTTTTTTTGATTCATATTGTTTGGGTATATCGAACCATTTTCGCAGCGTATGCAACGGCGACCCACAAGGATGAATAACTTTTCCTCAGTTTTTCACTTTTCCCGTTCCCTCCTATTAGTCATAGCGCGATGTTTTATAGCCTATAACCTTCCTCGATAAATTCTTTAACTAACGCAATATTATTTTTTAATTCGAACAAGTAGGTCCTGAGATTAGCGCGTTAAAAAAAACACTTCATCTATATATATTAGTATAAATAGATCATTTGATTAAGAGCTGATTTAAAAAAAATATACGTATTGTAAAGTTAAAATTTTCCATTTATATGTTTTTAATTATTGCATTATTTATATATTCTCTGAAAATACAATCGATTACACTCGAAATACAACCGATACAAAGCGGGGTGCAACAGTTAATCGAACAGCACTCGATCGAACAAATATAGGTACAAATTGAAATACGGCTTGGCCATAAATAATGTGGAACGACACCGCTCCGGGCGCGGATGTCATATCTGCCCTCGACTGCTTACATAATAGGCGCAGCCGGCTTCGAGCGCCGAACAATGCCCGCGACGTTCGCGACGCCCGGGCACCCCGGGACGGTCCCTAATAAAACCTCGGCCGACCGCAATCGACGCGCCCCTCGCGACACTACTTGGCACCTATCAGGTCTCAACAAATCTCTCGAGAGCCCATTCAGCCCGCTTTGTTCGACATGGATACACTTTTTGTGCGAGTTTTTCTGCCCGCCGCTACTCCCGTATAACGACGTCGTTTGGCCGCATTTAACACGTCATTTCGCCCGAAATTATGCTAACGTTAGCGCCTTTTGGATGTTCGGAAATCCACAGACTGATACCGAAACGCGATTAAGCTTCACGGCTTTTTGATCTGTGGGGCGTTTGTTACCCGAACGGAATAATATTCCTACCCACCCATTTAATATCTAGGTTTCAAGACATGTTTTAGAATAACATTACATATTAATAGGTGGTTTTCATGTGAAATTGATTTTAAACACATAAGTAACGAAAAATGTGCAAAGGCAACGCCGAGTAATATCGAATTGAGTGGAGTCATTCAAAACGGTGTCGCGTAACAAATCCGCCTTTGTGTGACGATTCGAGGGGCGGTTGTCGGTTTATGGACTCGCCAACATTTGGTTTAAACGCGCATTAATTGTGTCTTTGGGAAGGTTGAATGAGTGTTCGCAGTCTGATGTTTTTATTGTTGTTTTATTAGTGTCACCCGTTGTTTGTTTGTATAATACACGAACCTTTTGTAAAATTTCAACTATCTAGGCTTTTTTAATGATAGAGTGATGATGGTAGATGATATACCCGGGCTATAGCTTCTAAACAAGATGCACTGTCAACCTATTGTGGCTTTGGATATTCGGAAATCCACAGAAAATAATTTAACCCCGGTTAAGTGTTAATTCAAGCCAAAAACGTTAGCGCTAGAAACAAACAAACAATAAATATCCTCGCTGGTGTCGCTTCAAATCGTTGAGCTATTATTAGTACATCTCACACTTCGCGGGCTTGTAATTTATGTGAAATTTATCAAGAATACGATCCAATCAGTAATAAATCAGACCAGCTCGACCGTATTCCGTTATTGATACACAATCGAAGTCTCGTCTTGACAAACGCCGCACCGTGTCAACTGAAATAAATATGCAAAACTCATCTCCGTATGCTAATAATTAGAACTAGATCTTCATTTTCGGCCTCGTAAATAACGGGTTCGATTTCAACGCGACAGATTTGCTTAGAAATTTGCCTTAGACCGTTTAAACAACTGCTAAAAACGTTTTAGTATTACAATATCTATACTAAATATAAAGATAAAAAATTTTGTTTGTTTGAACGCGCTAATCTCAGGAACTACTAGTTCGAATAGAAAGATTATTTTTGTATTGAATAGAGCATTTATAGGTTATAAGTCACATTGCGATGGAACTAATAGGAGCGAAGAAACAGCAGGAAATGTTAAAAAAAACAGCAATCATTATTACGTACCATACGCTGCGAAAAGAGTTCAAGTTATCCAAAAAATATTTATGAAAGAATTATTCTTTTTATTTATCAATTTAATAACCATTTTGATCAGGTCGTCGTCCGACGAGGCCTATTTCCGATCCCCAAAAAATGAGGACATAGTTCTTTTAATGTTGCGTAATCACTTTAATAGATAATCCTCCCATATTTTGCCACGACTTCCCCTCGTCCTCTCTTTTCATGTCCGGTCCAATTCAAATGAGGTTTGTCGTTATCATTTTGGACTACTAATACGTACTAAACTTTTGCAATGCGCGTGAGTGCATAGGGAAGTGATCCTATTGTTGCTGTGTTTTTATGCTCACGCCATTCATCGGTTACATCTCAGGCGTCCACAAAACATCCGAGTAATACAAAAACGACCAATTTTATTACGACATATCAATATATTACTATCGGTCGTCCAAATCATACAGAAAAAAACACACTTATTTCACAAAAGGATCGGAAGGAGCAATGCAGTGTATCATTCGTGCGAACATTAGTGAAAACAGATGCGCCTGCGTCGCCTAAGGGACGTTTTAATATCGATTCGATAGACTGCAGTTTATTAGGCGGCGTGATGCGGCGTGACACGTCACCCGGCCGCTGGCGCAAAGGTGCGCGGCGCCTACGCCGTCGTCCATTGTTACCGGCTTACGTTCGCAAATCCGATTTATATTTGAATATAATTGACTTTCGGTATCAGGTACGAAGTCTGATCTTTTGTGAGCGGCTCATCTGAATGGCATTTTTATCGTCTGAACATGATAAATGCTTTGGGGATTCGGGCCGAAGTGAGATTGTGTTTCGGGCGATTTGTATTCCTAATTCATCGCGCGGCGTGACTGACCCCGCGATCCTTCCTTACGCAAATATTTCTCTTCGGAAACGCAGTTTCTTTATTAACTAAATCTACATGTATACTAATATATGAAGTTGAAGAGTTTGTTGTTAGTTTGAACGCGCTAATCTTGAGGCTACTGATTCGAATTGAAAAATTATTTTTGTGTTGATTAGAGCATTTATCGAGGAAGGCTAAAAGGAACAAAGAAACAGCGGGGAATCTGGAAAAAACGCGGTTGGAAAAAATTATCGAAGAAAATTTTGGACGATGGAAACTCGATTAAGTTTCACGGCTTTCTCATCCTACCACCCATTTAACATCCAGATCTCGATACGAAGTACACGAACACGTTTCAGAAAAATTTGAAACATGTTGGTCCTGGTAGGTGATCCCTACCAGGACCAACATGTTTCAAATTTTTCAAAAGCCCACGAACCTTAGATTATTAGTCATTATTTATATATATCATATATGTATATATTGCTACCATTGGGCCAACGGACCCGTCAAATTTAATCTGTCGATCTCCGAATATCCAAAGCCAAAATTCAATAATTCACCCTCCATCGCGCTTGTTTGTCCTCCTCTATCACAAGAAACCTTCCACATTGGTAAAACATATTCTCCAACCCCCCTCCGATTAGCATAACAGTAGTGAATCCGGCAAATCAGTAATCCCGTTCGGGGCTGAAGACTGAAAGCGTGAGCCGTTTGTTCGTCGCGTGATTTATGCGTCGATTCGGGAAGAGACGTATTTGGGAGCCACAAAGGCGTATCGGAAATAAATAATACGGGTGTCAGCGATCGGTGAGGCCACAAAGAGGCCCCCCGCGGGCGTCGAAGCCGGTCGAAGCCGGTCGACACAATAGCGCTTCACACCGTGCGAGAGTCGATCTCTGTTTTTTCGTTTCGTTCGTCGCGGGATTCGTGCGTGGGCCACTTTCCTAACAGTCGCTGTGATTTGCGGACTTAGGCCACTTTTCACTACAGCCTACTTTGCACACGATAGCTTTATTCAAAAAGTGAACTTAAACAGTAAACGAACGGCTACAGCTCGGTAATGGAAAAATAAAATATATTGATTTGTCAAAATAAAAAAGAAAAATGTTTGTCTGTCTGTCGTGATTATACAGGGCGTTCCAAATTGCGACATGGCTGAGAAGAACACCCAAGAAACCCAGTCCGGCTTGTTACAACATGTCTTATGACCTTTTACATTTTTGTGAATTCATTAACCTAAGGAGCAATTCATATCACTGCCAGGTGTTGTCATTAAAGAAATCAAACAATATACGCCTTTTGAGACAATCTAAATATTATGACTATTTTAACCTATTTATTTATCAATAAATAGGTTAAAATAGTCATTTGTAACCTCAATTGGCAAATATACATACTAATAGAATTCCCCGCAAATGATCTAGTTTATGGAGCCTATATTTGAGGATAGCTAGTTTATCCTTATTTCTTAAGTTCAAAAAGAAGCAAAGAAAAGCCTTCTCAACATTAATTGACTTAATAAATCTAAGACGGCGTAGGGAACAGCGAAATCGTATTAATACAGTCACAACAAAAAACATTTCATCGTTCAACAATCCACGACTATTAGGATCTCTAAAACATACGATCGACTCTTCCCATAGTGCTAGTCAACTGCGAACAACGACAATGCCCTCTATGGCGTTTGATAGTGAGTTCAAAGTACTGTGTAGCCTTCGCTTGTTGACGGCGGGCGGGACTGGGCGTGGCGCGTGTGACGTCATCGCCCCCGTGCGCGCCCTGGCTCCGAACAGATCGTAGATATCGCAACGATAGACCTCGTGAAAATGGCGAAATAACACTAGCCGTGTCGGCGACTTCGTCCACGTGGAATAGTTATTTCGGGCATCGATATTGTTTTTGCCTACCTCCTCTCTATATTTATAAATTATGGCTGTTCTTTTATTTCTATCACACATCAAATTCACATAGCGAAAATCACAATTTCATGCTAAGATTAATAAAAGCCCTAAAAATAATTGTACCTAAATAGACAGATTACAACTTCTCTAGTTTGACATTTACATAAGGATGGAATGTAAGCAAAGTCTTAGGAGACACACTCATGAAAGATCGTTGATAAGCATTACAAACGTCAAGTTAAATATGAATGAAATAATAAATTAAAAAACGGTCGTAAATAATGTAATAAATGTAATTTTGAATATTGATGTCATTTCGTAAATATTTAGGCTGTGATACTTTATCCCTGTGTCATCTGTGACAACAACTTCACTCTATAAAAGGTCATCACTAGCTAGCTCTCTATGATTTGAAGTCGGCCATAATTGTTGTGGCCTTTTACAAGTTAGAAAAAATACACTATACATTTAAATAAAACACTTTAACGGTTTAAAACGCGATATATAGTTAAACTTATTTGTCTCCCCGTGTCCACGGCTGCTGCAAAGTATCCGAAACGTCGGGTCGTAGTTAAAAATCATTTTTAAATAAGTTTAACTAATATATATCACGTTTTAAACCGTTAAAGTGTTTTATTTAAATGTGTACTACTCGCGTAAACTACAGAGAGTATTTAATACACTAGGTATACATATTTTGTGGTTACTTTAACCGTTTACGTAGCGCACGCAACGGAAGCCCTCAACATGAAAAAAGTTACGGGAAACGTTTTCTTGTAAATTTCCGCTCAATCTTCGATCAATAAGTCTCTCTCGTAGATGAACCGTAAGCGCTATTACACACTGGCGACTAAGTGTCCGGCAGCTGTAAGTTACTATTGTTTAAATGGTTGCCGGTCGCCCCCAACTCACGACTCACAGCGTAGAGGCGAAGCACTTCGATCGCCGAGAGACTGAATCGCCGGCGACTGATCAACGGTGCGTGAGTGCCATGTAGGCTTTGAAGCGACGCTCTAAAGATGTTTTAATTGTCCCACGAGAGCATAAAACCGAGCCGGGCCCGTTCCTCTGCCCATTAACCGAAATGGAGGTCTCCATCGAGTCGGCTCATAGTATTAAGCAATAAACAGTCAATAAACGAGCGTCGGTCTGTCGGCTAATTGCTGACAATTAGAACCGATGTTCCCGCACCCCGTCGCGTTTCAGCCGTTACACCGTTTATTGCGTATGAGAAAAAAAGGTTGGATCTGGAAGACGGACTGACGGACGGACGGACTCGTAGCTCTTATGGTGGCAAAGTAAAGATAAACCGAACGGGTCTTCTGGAAATATGGATATTAAATAGTTCGATTCAGCTTTCAATGTATGGATAGCCGAATATCCAATGTCCAAAGAGCTGAGAAAAAAACTGCAATATTTCACCGTTCTTTAAGTGTACGTACATACGTACTTGTCGGTTGTTTAAAAAGAAATCGGTATTTTTTCTAGCGGCTGTTTTGTAACACACCCATCATGATTTTTGCGAAACTCTAACTGATGAGGCGCCGTACGGCATTATACGTCTTGAAAGGGTAGATTTATAAAGCTGATGTCCACCGCTTAGAACTAGCTAGATTCACAAAATTCTCGTTCTTCCATTTTGCTACATTCTCATAGAAACATGGGAAATTAAAAAGACTAGACGAACTATGCTCGTATCGTTTACAATGATGGTTGTAGTTAATACGCATGGCCGAATGCGTAGGGTTGTCTACATATCAAAAATAACATAAATTTTCTATCTGTTATTATAGCACAGATATAGATTATTAGTATTGCACTTTACAACATACTGAATGTGGATAATAGAATAGTGAAGTAAACGACACTTTAAAATTGACGACTCCGCCAAACGCCCGTGTTCGTCTGCCCGTAAACATGTCTCAAAAACTAATACATTTTTGTGAGTTGATTAACCTAAGGAGCAATTCATACCACTGCCAGGCATCCTTGTCATTAAAGAAATCGTTCAAACAATAATACGTCTTTTGAGACGATCTAAATTTTATTAAATTTTTATACTTATTCATTGATAATTTGCAACCTCAACTGGCAAAATATTATACACACGAAGACAATTCCACGCAAATGAATTAATTATTTTATGAAGCCTATATTTAGGGATAGCTAGTTTATTCTTATTTCTTAAGTTCAAATTATGTCTTTTTGTTGTTGTTGGCCGCCTTACCATTGAATAAATCAAAAGTCATGATGGACGCAAGGGGTAGCCCTGGCTCGCGGCGCGCGCGCATCTCGCCTGTCGTATAACTCTGGCGCTAATCGGAGCGGCGCGCCTTGTGCCAACTATTAACTCTTCGAAGTTCTATCCCCCTTAACGGCCGAAGGCGCCAGTTGCCTAAATATTAATAACGCCGGTTCTCTTCCTCCGTTTTAATTGCGTTCCGTGGGGCAGCAGTAAATTAGGCGGTCGCTTTCATACGCTGCGCCCAAACAAAATTGATAAGCGATTAAAAGTTTCATAATATTGTAGAACTATCGGCGTTGGCGCCGCGGAGTGTCACTGCATCTATACGGCACAGACGAATCGCTTCACCGTGTTATGTACGAATCATGCTCGCGATACATTCTAATGTATGGCTCGCGTTTCAGAGTTTTATCTATAGTATATAGCTAAGTTGCCTAATCCCAAGAACTACGGGTTCGAATTGAAAAAAAATTTTTTTGTTTGGTTAGACCATTTGTCGGGAACGGTTGAAGAATGATTGTTCTTTAAATGATCTAAAAAATGTCCGCGACAGTATATGTCTATCTTTTAACGTTAACTTGCAAGAACGACGGGGGAGGGACGGAGTCGCTGACACAGCTAGTCTGAGATAAACGATTAATGCAAACAATTATATATATTTCGTTTTTGATTCGGACAATAACCATCAAAGTAAATTTGATGTACGGTAATCTAAAAGATTAAAAAATACCAATTCTTAGTAATACAAGACCCGTAAAAGGTACTACAATTTTTTCTCTATTTTTAACTAAATTTGACATGTCGATAATTGAATCGTTTTATCACGAACCGCCTTTTGACTCGGCATATAAAAAATATAACCAATAAAATATGGACGAAAGCATGTAAACTACGTCGTTAGCAATAACAATCAAGTTTATGTAAGCGGAAACCTCTAATCCAGAAATGTTAATCGAGGACATTAAGGCAGCTTGACTTGAAATGAGCTATATCGATAATAGAGTGCATCGCAAAAAGAACATCGCGCGGCAGGTGTGAGATCGCCCGGCGCTAGTGATGTACGCGCCGTTTATCGATGAATTATAAACATCTGTCTCTATGTCATCTCGACTGAAATTGGCCACATCTATCAAACTCAAACTATTTATTTCACAAGACAGAAGAAATAAGTTAAATATTAGATTTATAACACATAAAAAAAGAGGAAAAAGAAAAGAACGAAACTTGGAAAGTGCTTGTGAAATAGGGAAAAGCACTCGGCATGTGCTTCACCACCCATAGTAGACCCGGTTTTCAGTGCCCCCGGGGAGTGTCAACAGCTACAAACTTTTAGTATACTAAACTAAACTTTAAAAGTGAATAAACTTAGAATAATGTATAGTGGAATGTGTGTTGTAAACTTTACAAAAAATAATAAAAAACAAATTTTAATTTCTAACTAAAAAAATAAAAAATATTATTTATAAAAATATATATCGTTTTGCGTACATGCGACAAGGAG